TTCTATGATACAATCAGCTTTAAGAACAAGACTGACTATACTAATAATCTGTGTTCTAATTGCTTAAATTTCTAAGAATTTAATGTTCTTTTTAGTGTTTCAGAATCAGTACAAAATTCACAAACAACATATACCATCTGTTTATTTTTCCCCAACCCTATAACAACATCTCCTTTAAACTACTGAAACCGTCCTTGTAAAATCAATTGAAACCAAGGGTTAAAACTTTGATAGAGGTCCAAGTTTTATAAAATATAGCTATAGCTAAGAATTAACCAGTAATTGCCCCATAGCCTGCTTCCCTATAATTGCTTCGGGCTTGGAAGTCACATAGCTGATGGTCACAAGATTTATAACTTCCCTTAATTGCTTCTGTAAGATAACACCTCTATTGTGAAACCTAAGACTGTTTCTTTAGATATTTTCCAGACCCTGCATTCCAATGGGCTCTCTGATGCCAGCGGGACAAGTGAGCCATTCCGCAGAACTGACTCAGTACAAGAATGCAGTTTCTGTATCACTATGATTTTACCCCTGATCCAATCAATCTGAAATACCAATTCCCTAGCCCACTGCTCGCCAAATCTTCAGGGAGGCAGATTTGAGAAATTCCTCCTGTCTCCTCATTCAGCCGCCCGACAAATATTACAATCTTTCCCTGCTACAACACTTGCTATCTCAATGTACTGGCTCTTTTCTGCACAGCAGGCAAAACAAACCTGGTTGGGTGGTAACAGAATGGGAGAGGAAAGGAGAGAAAAACTAACAAGCCATAAAAATTATGATAGCTTTAATGAGTTCTACTGAAGTGATAAGGAATTTAAGGTTTTCATGAAACTACTCAAAAGGGGCTTCCTGGCTGGGGTCGAGGGTGGTGGGGGGCGGCTCACACCTATAATCTCTGTGCTTTGGGAAGCCAAGGTGGAGGATTCCTTGAGGCCAGGAGTTTGAGACCAGCCTGAGCAACACAGCGAGCTCCCACCTCTACAAAAAATGAAAAAAAAATTAGCCAGGTGTGGTGGTAGGTGCCTGCAGTCCTAGCTACTTGGAAGGCAGAGGCAGGAGGATCATTTGACCCTAGGAGTTTGAAGCTGCAGTGAGCTATGATCCCACCACTGCACTCTAGCCTGGGTGACAGAGTGAGACCCTGTCTCAAAAATAAACAAATAAATAAAATAGACTTCCTGATTGCTTCCCCAAATGAACTTTCTCTCTTCTCTTTTTATTCAGATACCCTCCTTCCATTTGTGGAGCTAGGGAAGACACTATCATCCTAGGACTGTCAATTTCCTGAGCCAAGTTTAGGAAGGACTGCACTGAGTTTTCCTAGGTCTGGACTGCAAATAATGTATGTAGCCTTCTGCTATATGAATATAATCATTTCTATAAACCCCAAAATTACATGTCCCACTTTAAAACCATTCACATGTGTGGCCTTTTTTTTTTTTTTTGTAATCCTGAAATTTTAGAAAGAACATCTGTGTGGTCTTAATTACAGACGTCCAAAGCTAGAATGGCTGTATTCAATGACGAGGCTGCACATGAATGGAAGCCCTTTTATCATTTAAAACGCTACTTTGGTTTTATACAATACCTTTGACTTTTAAACGATTTGTAAACAAAGATTATAGTAGCAATCCTCAAAGAGGATGACAATCCCATTTTAAGACTAGCTTTAAAAGGTCACCAAGATGAAAAACTGGATCTGGATACTTAGAATTTCCTGCTTAGTATTCTGTTTCTGTCAAAAACTGTGATGGAGCACAAACTACAGGGAG